TTTTGAGTCTTTAAGATGACATGTAATGAAGTTGCCTCTCCCTGGCCTTGGATATTATTCTAGGCAAATTTTTCGTTACACATATGCATCTTATTACAAATTAACGTAATTTTATCACAAAATTTTATAATATTAATCACAAAATACATAATTTTACTATAAATTGACGTAACAAAAAATATTATAAACAAATTACCAATTTTTGTTATATGAACTACAAAATTTTATAAATTTTGTTACGTTAATTTATGATAAAATTATACATCTTATAATTGATATTATAAAATTTTATAATAAATTACACCAATTATATAGAATACATATAGTCCACACTCTTAGAGAAGTGTGTGCCATAAAATTTCCTATTATTCTATTGTTAAGGAGTACTTATAGATTTTGACTTGCTTACATATCTTTGTATTATTTGTTAGACGGGATTGGTAACGTTTGAGTATCTCAATTGGATCATGTTGATCAGATTTATGAAATTCGTTATGAGTCTCATTTTAATAATTTAAATTATTTATTTTATAAAAAAATATTTATGTATATTATTTATTAAAAATTAAGTCAACTGAATAGCTATAGTTTTTTTTATTTTCTTGTATTAAAAAATGGATAGTCTATTTTCAAAAGAGTAATGCTATTTAGTTCAAAAAATTATATCCACTTTTTAGACCCAATAATGTTGCATTATATTAAAATGTTTAAGTCAACTATTTCTCTCACTTATTCGTTAATCATCAATAAATCATCTTATTCACACATCATTAGATCTTGAAAGTGTGCTTATATATTATTTTTCTTTTCAAAAATACATTTATCATTCTATTTTTTCAGTGACACACTATAAAATGAATATGCTATAATTATTAAATTAACTTAATTTTTTCATGAATAACATACATTCAAAATAAACGATTTGAATTATCAAAATAAATCACGTGGTGGACTCTACAAATTCGATGGTTTGGCTATCATTTTAGGGTTAAAAAAAATCACAAAATGAAAAAATAAGCTAATAAGACAAAATATTACATTCAACCATAATCATTATATTTTTTCTCTCACAAAAGTCAAAAAATCCAAATCAAACTAAGCTAAAAAAGTTAGGCTAAAAAAGTCCGAACACAAAAAAAGTTGACTATGTTAGCCAATACCAAACGAAGCTAAGATGCTCAACTTGAGACTTAAAAGAAACCAATCCGAGGTCGGAGATATGAGACACGCCCACATGATGTATTAGATCATTTAATTGGGTATCGGATATCAAGGTTCACTGCTGGAAATTGAGCTTTTAGTGGCGTTCAAAAAACGCCGCCATAGGTATCAAAAACGCCGCTAATTGTTTTTGTGACGTTTAGTACCAAGCGCCAAGATGCGGTCGTCGCTGTAATTTTATGACGCTTTAAAAGCGTCACTATATCAGTATAGGCGGTGTCTTTTAAAGCGCCGCTAAATGTGCTGCGTAATGATACAATGACGTCACTCCACATTTAACGACGTTTTAAAAGCGCCGTGATAGATCTTTTCTATTTTAAAAATATAACAGTTGGTATTCCATAGTGACGTTTAAAAACGCCATTATAGCTTCATTTTTTTAATAAAAAAATAAAAATAGAAATAAAACTAAAAAATTGTGCTAATTCTGTGAGATTTAACTTTAAAAAAAAATACGTTTTATAAAGATGAAAAATATACAATATATTGACTAAATTTAGGTAAACATAATACTAGATCAATTCATGCTTCTCAATATGCAAAAATATTTCAATTCTAAGATGAAATAAAGTTAAACTAGTGCCTAGTGGTAAGTTAAAAATTATTACAAAACAAATCGGCACAAAATTCAAACTAATTATACATACCAATTATACATACAAGTACTATGAAAGCATCCACTAAGAAACAAAAATTCTCAGGTTCTATAAGGAAGATGATGGTCCTCTGTTCACATCTCAGCATTGTTGACACATCTTGTGCTGTCGCCTGCCAAGCATTCACCAAAATATATATTTTTTCTCAATTGTTTCTCAAAATATCAATTTCTTTCTCAATTGTAAGCAACTTGTGATGCATTATGAAAGAGCATGAAATGAGGAGAGAATTGAAATTTTTTTTTTCAAAAACTATTTCTGATGCAAATTTGAGAAACAAACTTTCAAGTGGAAATGCATCAAAAATAGGTTCACACTAAAATCCCTACGCACCCCCCCTGCAGGTGGGAAAAAAAGTGTAATTGTCTGGCAAATACAGTTTTAATATAAATAAAATTGTGCCTCTGAGACAGGAATACCTTTTTCTTTTTTATCATAATTTTGGCTGCAGCCTACAAAGAGTAGTAAAAAAGCTGCTTAGATCCAACTAAGAGGAAAACTATGACTGCCAAAACTGAGCTTAAAATCTACACGCCTGTGTGCATAGGTATGCACCAGTGAGATTTAGATCAATAACCTCCTTCCATTGAGCAGTCTTCATTCTCATCAATAAACCATCTCTAGTAATACCTGAAACCATTGTTGATCAGTTAGTGGACTATATCTGAAACTGTTAATGATGGAAGAGGAGGTGGAACATTCAAGAACCTGCATTGTTTATCAATATAGCAACTGTTCCCCATGCATCAACCACCTGTAGATGCGACAATTATGAAGCAAACTAAAAAATATCACCATATTAAACTAATATATATTATAATATTAATTTTATTATCATCTTCTTTTATTCTTATTTGTTTAAATTGCATACTGCTAGTAAATCTAAATAGGATCAGTCAGTTTAATCAGCTTATGTAGTTTGAATTCCATGCAATGACAATGCATGACTTTGTTAAAACAATAAGGCAACAAGCCAGATAAAATTCTATACATGCCTACATAGAGAAAAGATAACACCACTTAGACACACATGTTCAATGGGAAAGTTAGAATATTACAAAGTTTAGGTGATGAACATGTGTTAAAACTTTCAATTCATCAAGGAATGTAAGAAAATTTAATGTAGGAAATAACAGTGGAACTCTTTTATTGATTAAATACTTCTGTGACCCCTAAGACTCTAGAGTAACAAGTTAAATAGGTATACCAAGAAAAATTGGTATGGGCTATGCTCAAACATACTATGCATCCTTAGCACAGTTTTCCTATGGACAACGCCAGTAGCATGGTGGGAACCATAGACTACGTGCGGACGTGTATTCATATTGGGGTTGAATGTAATACCCTAATATCCCACATTCCTAAGTTGTATACATGAGCTTACATCCTTCTCTAGTACCTATGAAACCAAATCTCACATCACCTAGGTACTAAAATAATGTGCAGTATAACTTATCAAAATAAAATAAAATAATAATAATGTGCAGTATAAATAGGAAAGATATTAGCACTACCGTTGAGGAAAAAATAAATAGACAAAAAGAATGAAATGAAAAACATTACAAATGTTAGCAGTTAAGAGAATCTCCCTCATTTAGGATGGCATTTAGGTCAGCACCAGAAGCCATTGGTTAGACTATCTCTAATCTTGAAGTCTCCCAAACAAATTTGACAAAATTGAGGCAGGAGCCACTGCCCGGTCGGGGCTAGTAACACCATCAATGAATCCTTCACGATCAATTAATTTCTGAAGAATTGCCTATCAACATGTGTAAAATAATACACTAATCACCAACTTTTCATAGATATTGTAAGTTGAAAGTCTTTGAAATTTTAATGTCTAGATGTTGCTAGGAAACTAGCTTTTGAAACATCATAAGATGATAAAACTGCAAACTAGCATGAAAATTTCCCAAAAAGCTATATAGATTTCTCATATAATATAGTCTTATGTTTACAGATTCATCAAGAATATGAGTGCCATACTTCTATAGTGCATCCAAAAATCATGACCATTTAACATGTGCGCACTTCATTCTAGAAACTTACTGGACAAGACCGATATGATTTCAACCCTTGATATAGTTCATGGTATGAGATTAGGAGCTTCACTGGGAAAAATTCAACAGATTGATTGTGCCCTCTGTTGTCCGTAAAAGAGATTAATTCACGTTCTAAAAGGTGCTCAAATGCCTGCAGAAGTCAGAGCAACAGATTACCAAAATATGCTTGGGATAGATTAGAAAGAAGCATCATCATGCAAAGTTCCATACGCACCCGTAAGTATACACTACTATTATTAAAGAAGCTGTCATAGATGATTATGGTATGCTCTCTTCTTGGGGGAATGAAGAAGATAAGCAAGATTGTAGCAAATGAAGAGGAGTCCATTGCAACAACCACAGAGGTATTAGTCCCCCATTGCTTAAATTGCAGTATTTAAAGTATTTAGATTTTATCTCTCTTATTTCAAATTAAAGTTTTTAAGAGAAAAGTTCGAGCAAATTCAAAGAAAGCAATTGAGGGTGAGCAAGACAAAAGGGATTAAGAGGCAGAAGCTGTTTTAACCTGTTATCAGCTTTATGAAAGATGGAATACCTTTAATTCCATAACCCAAGCAAGAAGTTGAAAATTAAGCATTTAATTCCAGATTATAAAAGACGCCGTTGATCATACTGACACATCAATTTGAATACCTTTTTATATTTTTAATTTAAAATAACACTAGATAGACTCCAATTTGTTTCCCTTCATTTACAATTTTAAGGAGTAAATAGATAAAATTAATAGTTAAGGGAAGCAATAGAAAAAATGATAATAGTTTAGGAAATAGAAGTGAATTAACTATTTTTCTTAATACATAAAAATGTAACTTTCTTGTTCATGCAGGACGAATAGACCAAATGATACAATACCAGCTCCACCAATATACCAAGAACAACAGAGTCCACCAATATACCAAGAACAACAATAGGGTCATGGAGAGATTGCAGACATGGTTTCTTCCTCAAAAGTTCTTTTACCTGTTTCATCAATATCAATAATCCTTATAGTCCTTTTCTTGAATTTGTTCTTCTAAAATACAATTCTCTGAGAAGAGAGAGGAGAAAAGAGAAGTTCAGATTTTCACCATTATTCACTTTCATTGTAATTTACATAGTTAGGCACCACACCATTCAATTTAACAGTGTAATTTGTTTCTCAAGTCCAGACTTTAACCTGATTTGCAATTCATGTATAATTTAACAACCCTCCAGAAAAAGAGGGCATGCTGAACAATTTCTTGTTGCTCTTTTTCAAATTCGACAAATGTCAAAATTAAAAATTAAAAAAATACAAATTATGGAATATAAATTGTTGTTACCATACTTCTTCCTTCACCAATGAGAATTGATGTCGGCCCACACACCACAATTTATCACATTCAGTAGCATCTCTCATTTCTTAGTCTTGCTGTTCTTCGGAGCTTGGGTTTTCTTTCTTACTTTCTTGGGTGGCTTTCCTCCTGCAGCTTTACCACTCCTTTTTCGCACGACCCCCTACATCCATGATCTCATAAATTAGCATTTCTTTATTACGACATGTTGCACAATCAATATACGATCTTGTCATTCAATGAGATACATAATGAACTGAGAAAGGTTAGGAAGCATACTAATGTTTTTTCAGCTTTTGTTTTAGTTTTTGTGTTGGATTGCTCTCCATTGCCCTCATTTTGATCAGTCTAATTAGTGACGGTTTTAGGCATCTTGTCAGCGTCATCATCAGAATCAAATGAGAATCCATCCAGTGTTCCTGATAGTTCCTGATATATGATTGAACATAAAGAAGCACAAAAATTACGAAGTAAACAACATCAGATCCTGAGTCATATATAAATATCCTGAAAGAAAACCTCAAATAGAGCTTCTAACCTTCAACCATGGTTTCAGCCTCGTAAACATTAGATTGAGGTTTCAGTTGAATAAAGTCATTCATGATAGCCTTTCTTGAATTTGTTCTTCTAAAATACAATTCTCTGAGAAGAGAGAGGAGAAAAGAGAAGTTCAGATTTTCACCATTATTCACTTTCATTGTAATTTACATAGTTAGGCACCACACCATTCAATTTAACAGTGTAATTTGTTTCTCAAGTCCAGACTTTAACCTGATTTGCAATTCATGTATAATTTAACAACCCTCCAGAAAAAGAGGGCATGTTGAACAATTTCTTGTTGCTCTTTTTCAAATTCGACAAATGTCAAAATTAAAAATTAAAAAAATACAAATTATGGAATATAAATTGTTGTTACCATACTTCTTCCTTCACCAATGAGAATTGATGTCGGCCCACACACCACAATTTATCACATTCAGTAGCATCTCTCATTTCTTAGTCTTGCTGTTCTTCGGAGCTTGGGTTTTCTTTCTTACTTTCTTGGGTGGCTTTCCTCCTGCAGCTTTACCACTCCTTTACGACATGTTGCACAATCAATATACGATCTTGTCATTCAATGAGATACATAATGAACTGAGAAAGGTTAGGAAGCATACTGATGTTTTTTCAGCTTTTGTTTTAGTTTTTGTGTTGGATTGCTCTCCATTGCCCTCATTTTGATCAGTCTAATTAGTGACGGTTTTAGGCATCTTGTTAGCGTCATCATCAGAATCAAATGAGAATCCATCCAGTGTTCCTGATATATGATTGAATATAAAGAAGCACAAAAATTACGAAGTAAACAACATCAGATCCTGAGTCATATATAAATATCCTGAAAGAAAACCTCAAATAGAGCTTCTAACCTTCAACCATGGTTTCAGCCTCGTAAACATTAGATTGAGGTTTCAGTTGAATAAAGTCATTCATGATAGCCTCTATCTGATCAGAAAAATTATAATTTCGAATCTAAGGGCATTGGCAGCAAACCAGAGCAAAGTCGTTGAAAGAAAAAGATCTGAAAGGAAAAAAACATTTTTTAGTTGAAAGGAAAAAATTATCAAAGGTGAAAAATGAAGAGGAAACAAAGAATTGATTAACAAACCTTTGCTTCTGACTGACCAAAGCTAACCCGAGCGAGAAGAAATATGAATCATGATCTGAATCGAACTTCGATTTCGATTTCGATTTCGAGATATGAATCACTAAGACCGATCTGCATCGCTGAGATCTGAATCACGATCTGAATCGAAATCGAAGTGATATGAACTCAGATTTGAATCGCAATATGAAATCGAAGTGATATGAACTCAGAATTTTAAAATTTCGAGATATGAACTTCGATTTCGAGAGAGAACTTCAATTTTTGAGGATTCCATTGATAAGCAACTGAATCTCTGTGATGATCAGGGTTTAGACAGCAGAGAGAGAGAGAGAGAGATTATTTGCGAGTGCATTGGTTCAATTTGGGAGTCGAGATTCTCAGATTGAAAAAGGAAGCGCGTGAGACAGCACGCGTTTAAAGGCTTTAATAAACGCCTCCTATTCATAAAATGGCGCCGTTTTAATTAAAGAAAAACAAGACATTTATAAAATGTCGTTAAATATTAGAAACAGTGACGCTTTAAAAAACGTCATTAAAAAAATGCTACCTAAACCCATATTTCCTGTAGTGGTTTTTATTTATTTTTAAAAACAATAGCTAATAAGCAATGTTGGTGCAGAGTTTCAGTAATGAAAATTGGTAAACTAAAGATCAAAGGTAAAAAATATCAAAAAATGGCTAGAGAGAGAGAGAAGGACATGTAGCTGTGAACCGAGGAGGATGGCAACTAGTGTTCAAGAAAAGAAGTCGAAATCATGGGTATGGGTTTGATATGCATACTGTTCATGGATGATCTTTCGGAAGGAATGAATCCAAAAGGGTTGTTTGTACTTTTCTCAAACTTTGGGGTTGTTAAGGATGTGTTCATTCCAAACAAGAGAAGAAGAGGTACAAGCTCAAGATTTGGTTTTGTGAGATATGATTGCCCAATTTCAGCGGGTGTAGCAATTCAGAAAACAAATGGGGTTTGGTGTGATAATAAAATTCTAAAAGTGAAGAGAGCTGATTTTGGTAAAGGGGCAGGTGTCAAAGGAAGTATGTGAATCATCTCAGGCTCTAAGGGGTGATGATAGGGATCCAAGGGGAAGAAATACGTATGCTGAGGTAGTGAGGGGCAAAGTGTGGAAGCAAGTGAATGGAAGAAATACGTATGCTGAGGTGGTGAGGGGAGAAGTACGGAAGCAAGTAAATTGTCTGAGGGTGCATGCAGAAGAATATGGGAATGACTGGTTATTTAATAGTTTGGTGGTTAAGGTGAAACTTCAATTATCTTTCATTGAGTTTAAGGCGGATATGCAGATCAGAGACTTACAAAACATTGAAGTTAAGGAAGGTGGAGGTAGAATAGCGTATGTAATATTTCCATTAGTTCAAGCAATGCAGAATAGAAGTAATCTCATTAATAACTAGATTGAGCACTGGTGTGAAACGGCAGTGGAATGGGAGAAAGGGATGAAAGTGGATGGTGAAAGATTGACTTGGTTATATTGCTATGGAATTCCACCAAATCTATGGAACTCAAAAAAATTTCAGAAGATTAGTGAGAAGTGGGGTAAAGTAGTGGGTATTCGTGATGAAACATTGAGTCTGGCATCACTGAATCGTGGTAAGGTGGAAATTATCACAACACAGATGGAAACTATTAATAATATGGTTATCATGGAGAGCAGGGGCCCTATCATATTCAATAAGGGTTGTGGAGTATATTGAGCAAAGCTTTTGGGCTTTAGTACAAAGCAAATGTGACTGGAAGTAAGGTATGAGTGAACGGTGGTAGCCATGGAAGAGGTGACCAGAGTTTTGTGTGTAAACAGATAGACAAAGAGGAAGATGATGCTAACAAGGTTGATTGCAGTGATGACTTGGAAGCTTAAGGTGATGTGGCAAAGAATCAATGGGACGACATGGAGGGGCTAATGAAACGGCTACAGAATTGGAAAACCAAAGTGCATCGGCTGGTTTCTCGCGTCCTACAGCAATGCTAGGTATCATGAAAAATCTTTCATGAAAATGATCATGAAAGATTTGTGACCTTTGGATTACACTTAGAATAAAGTACCACACACTAATCAAGGTAATCTAAGAGTCACAAATCCTTCATGATTATTTTCATGAAAAAATTTTCATGATCCCTAATATTTCTCCGCGTCCTAAGTCAAGCATGTAGAGTAGATTATTATAGAGATGTGAGGTGGATAACTGTAGAGTCGGTGGGAATATTTGGCCATCTAAGGTAATGAGAAGACTTAGTGAGAAGGATACTATTTGGTCCAGTATTAATTTGGAGGTGGTGTTAAATCAAGCCTAATTTGAAGGGCTTTGTAATGGGTTAGGAAAGGGTTTGGAAAGTCTGAAGGTGGTGAATATTGACCCACATGCATTAGTGCCTTCTATGAACAATGTAGGTGAAGTCCAACCATATATTATTGAAGCCCATGAGGGCCCAATATCAAAACAATCAATTCATATTGGTTCAGATAAAGGGATGAAGGTTGTGGACAGCCATGTTCGAGTGAATTCTAAGAATTTACCAGTAAAAAGAAAAGATAAGGGCAAGAATGTAGCTGTGGGTATGGGTAACTCAGATGGGGAGCAAGTAGGCTTGGAAAATCAATATAAAGCTTCGATTAGTAAAGAAATGGGGCCAAAGCAAAGAAGGAAAAAGAAGATGAGAGGTTCTACTCGTTTCTGCAAAGGTTTTCACAAAGGAGCTATATTCAGAGTGGCGGCAATTGTGATTTCTTTATCTATGTCTGTTAGCAGTGGGGTTTATAAACAGAGTTTGAGTCTAAATGAAGCTCAGGCAACAGTGAAGATGGGTAAAGATTTGGGTATTGAAATGGGGGGTAATGAAGAAAATGTTATTCGGAAAATAATGGAAATGGAAAATCAAGATGAGGAAAGATTAGCCAAAAAGGAGAGGAACGATGAGTCTTAAGTCTGCACCCGAAGGTGAATTGGGAGTCACAGTAGTTTCACAATGAAAGTTATTTCATGGAATGTTAGAGGATTGGGTAAGTCAGAGAAAAGACAGAGGATTAGGAATTTCATAAAGGAAAAAAGGTGGATATGATGCTGATTCAAGAAGCAAAAAAGGCATGTATTGATGAGATTTTTGTTAGATCTCTATGGCCAGAAGACGAACTGGGATACTTGGAGGTTGATGTAGATGGGAGTGTAGAGGGTTTGTTATACATGTGGAAACCTCATGTTTTCCAGATGAAAGATTATTGCAGCTCAAGGAATTTTATCTTGCTATCAGGTTTGGTGTATCATAAACTTGATTGTGTCATCGGTAATGTATATGCACCTAATGATAGTAGAGATATAAATCATCTTTGGTAGGTCCTTTCTAATTTGAAAACATCCTATCCAAAACCTTGGTGTTTAGAGAGGGATTTCAATGAAATTAAATTTATAGGGTAAAGGAAAGGGTATGTGAGAAGTGATAGGGGGATGCTGGAGTTTAATGAGTTCACCAATAAACTTCAATTGATCGATGTTCCTGTGTGTGTTGATTTCTGAGCACACTGCCAAACAAGAACTTAGCAGGAGAGCATAGGCAGAATAGATGTCACCCGAACAACTTATCACAAAAAGATAAAACTCCGGCGGTGGTTCGTCCACCCGAGGGCACTTCGACGATCAAGTCAGTACTCAGTTATCTCTCAAAGATAGCAAAAAGTGCTTAACTTACAAGCCAGAATATAAAAAGCGTACCTTAGACCCACGAGGATGCCTTACTTTTATAACCAGCACTAACCTGATCCCTGTAGAAGCCTAGCTTCAATGGACTCTGGCTCAATGCTTACCCTAGACTCTTAGCCAGATAAAGATAATTCCCCAAGAGCCTCATCATCATCTAGACTGAGGTCCCCCCCCATTTTAGGACTTTTGTCCCCTATCCACTCATCTTGGATTCTGATATTTCCG